CGGCCAAGCCTGCAAATAATTTTTTTCTAGAAACTTGTCATATGTCAGGCCAGGGACTAGGTTTGACCTGACATGCAGCCAGTCTGGTCAGACAAACAAATTTTTCCCACACTTAAATTTAAAAATTGGAGATAACAATTTGTTTCAGTATAATAATACTACTGTATAAGTATTTTAGAAACCCGATTCTGAGCAAAAAAAAAAAAAAGTTCCCAATGCAAATTTTTAGTCGCCAGGCTAGGTTGAACGAACAATCTTACCACAAACTCTAAATTAAAACATGTTGAGAAGACGCCAACCACAAGCTTTGTAAAACACGATCGCCACTTTTCCAGAGACAAAATATATTGGCATAGCGATAGACATACGCAATCAGACGCAGGGCTCGTTAATGCATTAATAGGGGCGACTTAACACACAGAGGGCAGCTTCATATTATGCAAGTGTTTCTTTACAGCAAACACACCAACGAGGAAGATGTAGCAATAGACGACTAGACTGTGCACTGAAAAGCCAATCTACAAGACACAGATAAAATTGTTTATATGTGAACTTTAATCTTTGTGAATTTAATCAATCTAGATCTGTAATAAGAGAAATGTAGTGTCGCAAACAGTGGCTACTAACAGCAGGAATATCTTTTTTTAGTGCACACAATTATAAGGGCACTGCCAGATTTCCAAGAGAGTCTACAAAGTTTGATAGCATTCTTGAGTGAAAAAATATCTTTTTTCATATTTCACGGATCACGTAACAGAAGAGGCCCGGTCAGGCAGGTGTTCGCGTATACGCTCTTCGGGCCAGAGCTCGGGCATGGGGTGAGCGTTCTGGCTCAGATCAAAACCTCTATAATTTACGCGGACAAATGTCCGAATGACGCAGTGCTAATGTGGCAGGCTTGCCATCCGTGACGTATCTCCTTTAAGTATATCAATTTTTTTATGTATTTTATACACAGCTGTGGACATCCTTACGCAGACATTATTCAGAATTCCAACTCTTTGGTTGAGGCGGAAAATTGAACGAGAAAAGAGGTGTAATCCCTCCCGTGAAATGCTAGAAGTTGACACACAGCTAGAAGGAAGTACTGGTTTTGGTTCATCTTCATGCCTACAGCCTACCAGGGTACCGCTCTTCTGGAAGGACATTCTAGGCCGCTAGCTCATAATGTCATAGTAAGTGAGGCTCATTGCTAAGATTTAAAAAAATACTATATTTAACGAACAAGCCCTAGGATTTCCACGTTAATGACCGTTGTGCTGGTACCCGGTGTTGTTACCTCGAGCATTCGAGAAATACATGGAACCTTAAAAAAACGTTGTTGCCTCGATTGACATTAATCTCAAACTTACTCAATCAAAATTCATTTGATATGAGTTGTTTTTTTCCACTCTGTTATATACATAAACATAGTAGAGTAATATTATTATTTGGTCATGTACTGCCGAGTTATATACGAAACTGAAACGCTGTTTCCGGCATCTACTCCATCCTCCGCCTTGTATCGTTCCCAAAGTGGCATTGCACGGTATACTGGTAGCAGCACATGTTTTGATTTCCTTGTCTGCCATCTTGTATTTCTACGTATGACAGTTTTCATTGAACCAAAAAAATAGTTACAGATGGGTCCGCATGATCTCTTGGCACGGAATGTGACCAGGTTACCTCATTTACCCCTGATTGACAGAGATGTACAAAAATGCTCGGAGGGTAACCTGCAATGGACTAGCATCCGCATCCAGAAGGAGAACCAATACTCCTAGTCGTTTCATAGCAACAGAAGTCAGAGTTACAGCACTGGCACTGATGATATCTATCTGGCTCTACTGATTCCACTGGATTGGATTTAGTGCTTATAGGTAAAGGTTGAGCTGTCACACGGGCCAAACTGACCCACACTGCCGGAGCTCATCCCGGTTTCCTTAGCATGAAGCCGACTCGGAGTAATGCTACTCCCTCCTGGATGGGATACTGGTCCAACATACATGTAGGTTAAAACCCCTAGCATTTTCTTGCTGGTAACCCATTTTATACCTCTGGGTGGAGAGAGGCACTGTGAGAGTAAAGTGTCTTGCCCAAAGAACACAATCACAGTGACCCCGGCCAGGGCTTGAACCTGGGCCGCTCGATCCAGAGTCCAACACGCTAACCATTAGGCCTACTGCGTCTCATTTAGTGCCTATACATAGAAGACTGGAAACTAAATACACCAGTGGCAACATCCTTTTCAGAGATTATTAAACTCTAATTTTGACTTGTTGTGTTTATTTTTCACAGGACGCCATAACTCGTGATGATCTTGTAGAATACATCATACACAACACTACATTGCTCCAAGAATTGTTCCTTGCAGCTGCTGGAGGTAAATTCCTCTTTTACTAATCGATCCATACCTCATACCGTCGATCCCCGTAACCCGTAACACCTGTTACGACTGTCCACCGACAGTCTTCCGCCAACTTAACCGACAACATACCCGACAGATAACCAACAGTCTGCCTAACAGGTTACTAACATTTGGCCCCACTGTTGTCCGACTCTGGTTTACCACTGTGGAAAAAAAACTGTTGACTGACATTTGGCTGATTGTTGGTTGACAGTCCGGCCCAACTGTTTGAGTCGGCCAACTTTCGGCAACCTGTTGGCCAATAATTTGGCCGCGTCGCAATAACTTGGCGAGGATTTTACATCTCGTCGGATGCACGGTGACCCTCCTGCTTTTCTTTTCATAGACCACTTCCTTCATACTGGATCTCTCCGCATTTTAACAAAAAAAAAACAAACTAAATTGCCTTCCTGAACGTGAGAAGTTTAAGTTTAGTTTTTGTCGTTGTTGAGAAGTTTTTTTTGATTTATGTTTCGCCTCTCTTTTTTTCTGTACTCATTTGCGATCATAAGTTGTTCTATGAGAATGCGGGTGGTTTGGGGGGGTTGTTGTAGAGGTTGCAATGACTTACAACAGTATATCCTTCGTGTAAGGCTAAGTTTGTACCTAAAGGCACATAAACAAAAAAGACATCCACGCATCGATCTTATCTAGAGAGTTCTCCATCATTTTACGTTTTTTTTTTTTTTTTTGCTAGATGTAGCATTTGTGAAGCCGATATCCATCTTCACATGACCCAAAGAGCTATCGTCACAATGTAATAGAAACACTACGGTTTTCAATGCCGCTTTATATCCGGAATTTTAAACTAGAGCAACGGGTGACTCCCCCCCCACCAATGTTTTTTCGCCCCTTTTCTGACATGGAGTTGGCCTCATTATATAACTTGGGCAAGCAAAAGTTAAAAAAAAAATCTGAACATGGAAAGAAATTGGTAGTGCGACCGAACGTCCTTTTTAATATATTAAAAACCATTGGAAATAAGAAACCAACAAGTGCAGGGAAGGGGTGCTACTGGCTAAATTTTAACCTTTGTTCTTACACCGTTCATCTGTTGGATCAGGTTATAATCAGTTATTGACTGACGGTAAATACCTTGTGGGAATTTCGGAGGAGGAATGGGGGGATTTACTTCAGGGAATTGTCATTTCCAGAGCTGATACAGGTTTTCTTCATCTCTCAATAACCTGGCTTACTTGATTTTTGTTTATCAAAACGGTAAAAAAAGAAGTTAGGGATTGATCACACTGTTTTTTGGTGATTTTTTTTTCTTCTTTTTTGTGTCCCTGTTTTAAGGTTGTTGATAGTAGCTCTGATGCATGCTCTCTGGTCAAGCTTGCAGAGAACAGAATTTTTTAAATGGTTTGAGGATCAACATATGAATCACAAGATGTGTTACAACCATGCAGATATACTGGCAGGCGAGGTTAGTGGCATTTAACATCAATTATCATCATCAGCCACCCGTCCTTTATCATGTGCCAGTTGTCACATAGGGCCACTTATGTCCAGGATTGACCGCAGCTACGAAAATTACAAAATTTACAAATTTGTGCTGTGGTCTTCCGAATCTGCGAATTTTACGAAAATCACAAATTTTGTAAAATTCACAGTTTTCCGTACTTTCATCGTAACTTTGCGATTTTCAGCACTTTTCAATAATTTTCGTAGTTGCGTTCAATCCTGGACATAAGTATCTCCAAATTTAGCATAATACTACTTGCATTCTTCTTTTATTTTATATAACTTCGCCTATGACATATATATACAACAATAAAGAGAAGCACGCGAATAAATTACAAGTCTACAAGGCAACCACGAGAACGAAACTTCTGGCCGACTTTCGTTAATTTTTTAGGCCTAATAATTGTCGCACCAAACATGAAGGAAGATAGATGTTTGGGAAAGCAATTTGGTGAAATTAATTTGTGAGGCAGTCCATCTAATCAGCCCATATTGAACACAATTCAGACCACTCAGGGTACCAATCAGAGTGCTCCGTTTCATTGTCGACCAATAATATTCATTTTCTGGTTGACAGATTCGTTTCCGTGATTGATGACATGCCGTCTGGCTCATTATTTGCGCATTGCTGTAGAGGGCTGTGGCTGGACTCACCCAGATTACGTTGCGACTGATGGTTGCCAATTCTGGTGAGTTGAGTTATAGACATGTATTTTAACAAATAATTTTGCAGGATAATTATTATCCTGCAAAATCGCAGAGCTGAATATTGCCATGATACTTGGCCGACGAGGCCGTATGCGGCGAAGTGGGCTAAAATCAGGCGATTGAGCAGGGATAATAATATTATTTGATTATTCAACAAATTGGTGACACAAGTAAATAAAAAATTCACTTTTATTTCAAGAACTGAACTTGAATACTTTACACGTGTCACCATTTTGTTACATATATTTAACAATTATTCGCGCGAAGGTGAAGTGAATATTGGTGAATATTTACGAAGCGAAGTCGAGGTAAATATTCACGCATATTCACTGAGTCCTGAGGCGCATAATTGTTTTAGTCTAAATTACTAAGGTGAATATACAGAACTACAAATTACGAGCTAAAACATGAGAAACATACGCGACGCAAAGTAGCTCGCCATCTTACCCGTAGTTTTACATATTACCGTAGTTTACGATATCATTAATTAAGCTAGTCAATACACCAAAGAAATTTTATTCTAACGAAAAAGACATTCATCAGTGACCGATTTGTTTAATTCGTTGCTGATTTCGATGAGTCAGGAGAGTAGTTATCTTCCTGAAGATAAGTATCTTTATGTTCTGAAGTAGGTAAGGCAAATTTCAGTCACTCCATCCAACACAAACACAGTGGGCCGCCCTTGTTCGCCACGCAACAACCGTTGTTTTTGACGAGTTTTAAATGCGTTAAAATCATTTCTTGAAAAGTTTTCCCGTCCAAACATCTTGGTAGTCATTTACCTAAATTCCCAATGCTTTGAATATCCTGAACTTGGGGTGATGCCTTTAGAATAAACGAAGATTTCATTCAAAACGAGTCGCCATCTTTTACTTGCCAGCACAGGCCAGCACAACAAATGTGGCTTAGCTTAGCAACCACGCCTTGAAATCCTATATTCACCGCCTCGCACGGTGAATATAGCGTCAGATGCCGAATTTTTCAACCAATCAGCTAGTCGGATTCTTTATATTCACCTTACTAAGTTAATTAGACTAATGCAGGATATCTGTTGAGTAGGGCCGACAGATCTTGAGATAATCTCGTTGAACCATTACCTGTAATATATTTGTTACAATTATTTTGTTGAATAATAAAATATGCTACTTCACTTCTTTATGATATTATACTTTCTTTGATTAGGTATTAATCAAATTCTTGATTTTATCACGATTATGACCTATTGATTTGATTCACGATGGCTCCATTCCGGACTTCAATTTTCATTTGATTCTATAAATATTAAACCCGTTCCAGACCTCGAGTTTTGCTCAATATTTCAATAATTTTATTAACCTGTTCGTCAAAGATTCTGCATTCCTAGCCCGATGTTTGGATGTATTCTTCAATACTTGAAGCAACACATGTGTGAGTGAATCAGTGCCGCAGATGTGGTGCTGATTCAGGGGAGTGTTAAACCATGCATCTGTAAATCATCTCTATCAAAGATGGTATGGGGCCAGGCAGCACTCAAACTCCCCTACGTAGACCACAACATTCAAGCTACATCATGTGTACATACATGTATTCAAATGAAACTGACTGTCAGAACAGATCTAGTTTAAACTTTTCCACAGCTTATTAGCAGCTGGGACAGGTCCCTCAGCGCTGCGAGAAAATATCAGCAGTCAAGCTCGCACAGGTACAGTAGAGTTACTGTTCATAAATAACTATTCACTAATAATTATTATGACAAACAATACAAAAAGCCTAGGTGGCTTAGTTTCCAGCTGTATAATTCCATAGCATGAAAGTGACTAGGGATATTTCCACTCCTCTGGATGCGGTGCTCAGTTCGTCGCCAGGTTAACCCCTCAGTATATTTGTCAAGTTGCTGTTCAGTGGCTGACAGTTTCTTCAGACTCCATAAGTGGAAAGAAGCACTGTGAGAGTAAAGTATCTTTACCCAAGGACACAACACAATGACCACGGCCAGGGCCTTGAACCCGCGACCACTTGATCCAGAGGCCAATGCACTTAACCATTAGGCCACTGCATCTAGTCCCATAAAAATAATAAAAGAATATTGTGCAACCATCATTTAAGTTGCGCGCGCAGCTATATGATACAGACAGTCACCACATTCTTACGTGCTTTCTACATTATTTTGTAGGCACATGGTTCAATACAACCTTGCTCACAGCTTTATGTCGTTTTAACACATTGCCTACACAGACACCGCGCTTCTCTGGTTAGTTTATAATGATTTAGAAAAACGCTTTGAACTGTTTGTGCCTACAATACTGTAACCTTCCAGCAAATCTGCGGGACCATCCCAACAGCGGTACCAGGGTTATCACCACAACTATTAAAAGGGAGAAGTGTTGCGTGACGATACCACATAATGGCTGCAAAGAGGAGACTAATGTCAGTGTTGGAACATGTCTGATTAATCTTTGTATCTACTATCCCGGGCGCGCATTAATTTCATACGTTTCTCAAGCGCATCTGTTGTTGAATTATTCTGCTTTTCTTCACTGACGGAGGAAAGACCTATTTCCTGTTAAAGTGATTCATTTTTCCGAAAACTAGTGCAAGACAGAAGAGAAATAATGCATGCAGTTATGTTATAAATCAAGCTGTAAAGACCTGGGCCAAACGAGGATGAGAGTTGCCTAAGCGTTGCTATCTCATGAGGGTTTTCTTCAACTCTCATCGACTATCATCATGCCTGGGCCCAAAAACTAGATGAGAGAGTCGACTCTTCAAGACAAAATTGAGCAGGTTCCGAATGTCGATGAGAGCGCACGAGAATCGCTGAGAGCACGTAAGAGTTTCAGGCCAAACGAGAGTGAGAGTTTGAACTCTCAGCAACTCTCACCCTCGTTTGCCCCAGGCTTAAAGGATTAAAGGAGCTACGTTCACGCGTTGGTGCGTCTCTGAAAAAATGGCCATTCAAGTTCGCCAATTCGCAATGAATTCGTCTCAATCTTCTCCATCCTCGACCATCCTTGTTCCTGTTAGGTTTATTATTACCTCTTTGGTCGTTTTTATACCTTAGTAAAAAAACTATTATTTTGAGGCTTTCCTTCCCCCCCCCCAGTTTGAAGGCGGATTTTGCATTCGGCACAAAAAATGACTTACACATAGCTCCTTCAAATGAACCCAGTTGCCATAGAAAAAAATTATATTCTGTACTGTGCCATTCATTACATTGTTCTCTTTGCATTTCAGGGGTGTTTACTTTGTAGCTGAGTAAGTTGAAAATTGAAGATTCGATGTACTGTGTTCAGAAGGAATGGTGAGTTAGACACATTGTACTGTTGAAAGGTCAAGGGCGTTTGGCACTGTATTCACTTGTGTTCTTTGTCTAAAGGCGTGTCAGCAAGTACTGTTGTACTCCCGATAACTCCAACCTTCAATGGAGATTGAAAAACTTTAGAGTTATCCGTAGGTTCGAGTTATCGAGAGTTAAAATTAGTAAGAAAATGACCTGAAGGGAAAACGAATTTACTTCGAATTACGTGGGAGAGTTCAAGTTATCGAGGGTTCGAGCAGGGCGTATAGTGTTAAGCAACCCAGTCTACTGAATCACAGATTTTCCCTCGGACCTGCTCGTTTCATCAAGTTAACAAGAGTCAAATGACGACGAGCTGTACCACGTTTTTGCCGCCAAAATTACACTAGGTTCACGCGCCGCACACTCGTTTACTATTGGTTAAAATTGTACTCTTTGTAGTGCGGCCGGATCAAGCGAGAACAAGAGTCGAAGATTATCATTAATGCGCGATCAAATGAGCTGAGTAGTACGTCATGAGTTGATATCATCTGCATGTCAAATGAGCGAAACTCTTTTTTTATCTCGTGAAAATTTGAGCAGGTTCAAATATTGTGCAGCAAAACAAGACCAAGAGTTTGACAACTCTCAATGTAATCCTGTTCTACTACTTGCATTCAGTTAGTGGATTGAAAACGCAACTATGAAAATTACGAAAATTGCCCCCGTAAAAAAGTTACGAGAAAAACCCTAAAGTCTTTAGACCAGAGAGGTCTTGACGAAAACTGCGAAATTTCGTAAATTTCGTAAATTCGTAAAATTCGCAGTTTTCGTCAGACCAAAATGATCTCACGAGGTCTTGACGAAAAACTGTGAATTTTACGAAATTTTCGTAAATTTCACAATTTTCGTAAAATTCACAGATTCGGATATGACCACAGCAAAAATTTG